TTAGTTTTTAAGACACTTTGAAAACATCTCTATAAGAAAGCCACATGAACATTAAACCTCCAGTTACCCAAGTCTAGGTTGATGTTGGAGCAATTCAAGTTGTATTGAATTGATCTGAAGTGAGACTTTGAGTAATCCGAGTTAACCTGAATTCGGCTAGTTGTCCCTCAGATTTTTTTCAAACCTTTTCCTATGTTTAATAGGATTAATCCAAGTTGGCTTAGTTTCATAAAAGTCGAACTAAGCCTACTTGACCTTTAGACTAACTCCATAGAAATACCGAGTTGATCATTCATTGAGTCATATTAACTTAAAATCAACTTAGCTTTGACTGAGCTGATTTAAATTAATCATCCTAGTTAGGTCAAGTTTAAGTTATATTAGACTTATTTTAAAGTCCAAAATAATTTATAGTTGAATTTCTACTAAAGTTTAGATTGGATTAGACTTGATAGATCCTTAATTGAAATTATTTTAAAGTTCAAGGTTCAGTTTCAAATTAGGTTGATCTAAGTTAATTTGATTTAGGTCAAATCAACCCAGAAATTTGGGCTGATGTGGACTAATATGAGTTAGGTCAGGTTAGCCCAATGGTTTAATTGATTTGGGTTAACCCGAGTTAGATCGGGTTGGTCCAACAGTTCAGTTGATTTGGGTTAACTCAAGTTAGGTCGAGATGACCCAGTGTTTTAGTTGATTTGAGTTAACCTGAGTTAAGTCAGATTGACCTAGTGTTTTAGTTAATTTGAGTTTAGATTCAATATAGGTTGAACCTAAAAGGGTTTAATATTAAGTACAATTTGGGTTAGACTAAGAGTTAGGTTTAATTTGGGTTGAATATAAGGATTTTGGTCTAGGTTCATTTTGAGTTAACTCTAAAAATTAAGGGTTAAGTTCAATTTGAGTTAACCCTAAGGATTTAGGGTTAGGTTCATCAACTTGAGTTAACCTAACCCTAAGGATTTAGGTTTAGGTTCAATTTGAGTTAACCCTAAAGATTTAGGGTTATGCGAGTTATCCCTAAAAATTTAAGGTTAAGTTCAACTTGAGTTAACCCTAAAGATTTAAGGTTAGGTTTAACTTAACTTAACCCTAAAGATTTAGGGTTAAGTTCAGTTTGAGTTAACCCTAAGGATTTAGGGTTAAGTTCAATATGAATTAACCCTAAGGATTAGGATTAGGGTTGGGTCTTATATGAGTTAGACCCAACATTTAAGATTAGGCTCAAGTTAAGTTGAAGCTAAGTTTAGGTTTTAATTGAGTTTAATTTAAGTGAGGCTTAGTAGGATAATTAGGTCTAATGTAGGTTAAACTTAATTAGGTTTAGGCATTAACTAAGTTTAATTTAAGTAAGACTTAGTAGGATAATTAGATTTGATGTAGGTTAGAACTAATTAGGTTTTAGGTTTAACTAAGTCTAATTTAAGTAAGATTTAGTAGGATATTTAAGTCTGATGTAGGTTCGACCTAGTTAGGTTTAAGGTTTAACTAAGTCTAATTTAAGTAAGATTTAGTAGGATATTTAAAAATGATGTAGGTTCGACCTAGTTAGATTTAAGGTTTAACTAAGTCTAATTTAAGTAAAACCTAGTTGGATAAGTAGGTCTAATGTAGGTTAGACCTAATTAGGTTTAAGGTTTAACTAAGTCTAATTTAAGTAATACTTAGTAGGTTAACTACTTTTAATGTAGCTTAGACCCAATTAAGGTTTAAGGTTAATTAAGTCTAATTTAAGTAAGACTTAATAGGTTTATTAGGTCTACTGTAAATTAGACACAGTTTGAGTTTAAGGTTAATTAATTCTAATTTAATTAAGACATAATAGGTTAATTAGGACTAATGTAGGTTGGACCCAATTAGGTTTTAAAGATTAATTAAGTCTAATTTAAGTAAGACTTAAAGGGTTAATTATGACTAATGCAGGTTAGACCCAATTAGGGCTTTAAGGACTAATTAAGTCTAATTTAAGTAAGACTTAATAGGTTAATTAGGTCTAATGCAGGTTAGAACTAATTAGGGTTTAAAGGTTAATCAAATCTAATTTAATTAAGACTTAATTGGTTAATTAAAATTAATGCAGGTTAGACCTAATTAGGTTTAAGGATTAATTAAGTATAATTTAAGTAAGACTTAATGGGCTACTTAGTTCTATTTATACAGTAGTTCTATTTAAATCTATTTCTATCATATGCATAGTTTGGTGGTTTGACTTTATCGTTGCTGTCCATTTTTAATATACGGGAATGGACGACATCAGTTCATCATCTCCATGGAACGATTAGTCGAAAGTCATCTGTAATCAAATCATAATTTCTCCCTAAAATTTTCATGAAATCTCATCAGGTTATTTCTAAAGCTTCATCTATCCAAGAAGAACACATCTACATGATTGATCAAGCATGGTGTAATAGTTTCTTTAATAAAAGATCAAACCTGACACAAATTTTAGGGCTTTTGATCCATTCCTGGTCCGAAGAGGTGTAGCCTTGGTTGGGTTTGATGGAAATGATTGTTGTTACCTCATGAAGCTTTTCCCCAACTTAATTTGGATTGAAATAGGCTCAACCTATGATTTAGACTAAATAGTGGCTCGATTTGGTCTAGAAATAGGGTGTAGAGGATGCAGGAAGGCTTAACTTCGATTGGGGGAGTGTCGTAGAAACCTTGGGAAGCTTTTATAATTCTTAGGTATAAGGTTTGAGGAAGTTTATGTTAAGCCCGAAAGAGATCCTGGTTTTATCTTGAGAAATTAGGGTTTCTCAATGGATTTGAGAGGCTGCAAAGATGGGCCTAAGGGATGGGGATCAACTTTGTTTTTCGGAGTGACAGAGTTTGAAGGCTCTATAGGGAGTTTGGTCATGTGTCAATGCTCTCGGATTTTGTCTTCCAAGTATCCATTAAAGGCCTTAAGGAGCTCTGGATTGATTGAGAGAGAAGCGTGGCTGGTCAGGAAATCTTTGAGAACCTCAGGGGATGGATTTTGGCCATGGTAGTCAAATTTCACTTCCCCATGGTGTACTCATCATGAATCCAAGCATGGAGGAGAAGGTGGATTGAGTGGGGTTTGGACATGATTGGAGGAGCTGTGAGGTGGATTAGCATGTCAGGGATGGCCTCACTCACAATGAACCAGCCATTTGACTTTTAAAGAGCTAATTTTGGGTTTGAATAAGGTTAATAAGTTCACCATGTCATGCTAGGTAGTCCTTGGGCCATGGGTAACCCATTAGGAATGGACTTTGGGTCATGAATGGGCTTAAAGAATTGACTTAAGGTTGGGCTTGGAGTAGGCCCATCCTGACACTCCTTTTTTTCATTAATTAATTAATTGATTAAACAAATAATTAATTAATTAAAAAAATATGAAAATTTAAGTTGAGTATGGGGTTCATAGGTTGAACAATTGGTTAATATGGGGGTAAAATGATCAATTTGGTCAATTTTGGTCTAAATTAGGGTTTGTCATCATTGGTTTTACTTTTCTAAGGTGTCACAAAATTTTGAGATCAAAAGGGACACATTAGGGTTTTAGCCTAATTTTAGGGTGTGGTGGGGTCGAGGAGACCTTTGGTGAGGCTAGGAATCAATTTTGGAAAACCCTCTCCCAACGTGGATTTGGTAGTCATAGTAGGAAAGAACATTAATTTTCTATCAGCCAAAAAGGTGGGAGGAAGTCCTCACAAAAGGAGGTCAATAGAATCATTATATCAAAACACCAAAAACTGACAAAACACATGAACTAGTGCCTAGGCGTTGGTCTTCGGTGCCTAGGCGCTAGCTATAGGAATATGGTTCTAGGGCATTGGGTGCATAGGCACCAGAATGAAGCGTCATGCTATATATCCCAATGTTCTTGGTAACAGGCTTCAGAGGGTACAACTGCTCCCAATTTTCATAAGTCACCCCAGTCTTCAAACAAAGTGCATAAACAATGGAAGGATGTCCCAACCCAATAGTAGATCCACCCTTCAGTATATTATAAATTGAGTAGTTTATAACGAAACCAATATCAATAGATAACCCCCCCTAAATACATGAATTTAGAATAGCTCTCTCTCTCTCATTACCTAACTTAGATTTATCGAAGGTAGGAGTTTGGTTGACATAAAATGATGTCAAGTCTTAGACTTGACATTCATAACAGAAGCAAAAAAGTTATTTTTTTTTCTCCTAATGAATCTATCGCACACCCCATTTATCAGTTGAATACCCAATAATTTCATCTAGCTCACAGGCCAAAGACATGAAATTGGAAAAAAATTCATTAGGGAGACCAGGAGGATTAAAAAGTGAGTTGAATTTTTTGGACTAAAATCAACTTCCTTCCCTCTTGCAAAAACCTTATCCCCATCTTGCTCCTTCAAATTATCAAAGAACTCCCTCAGCACATGAATAACAACCACCCCAATTTCATAACAGAAATGCTTCCAATCCCTAGCATTAACCCTGGCTGGAAGAAACCCTGCTCTAGAAAAAAAATTATTGGACACCAACAAATTGATGTAATGCCTTCCACTTTGGCGCTTACGAATTTCTTGGCGTCAATAGAAGTTTTTTTTTTCAGTGATTTTTGGAGCCATGAAATTAAGGATATGAGATATAGGGTTGAGAAAAAAAGTAAAATCAAGAACAAGGAAAGATATGGGAGAAGATCTCAATAGAGCTTTGGAATATGAATGAAAATATTATGCTCAAACGAAAAGGCGCTCTATTTCATCCATATTCCAAAGCTCTATTGAGATGACGCCCCACCATTGGACTCCGAACGCAAACTGCGTTGGTAGTCCTGATGCCCTTCTCATGATAAAAACTCACAAATTACTTCCTTAGAAGTAGCTCACTATCCTCACGCTCACATGAGTTCATGCTAATTAAACATAATAAAAGAACCCCAACCGGTAATTTCTGGGACTCATTCTAACAAAAACAAAAGAGAGAAAAAAAGATTCAAAACTAAAGATTAAAAAATAAAAATTTAAACAGAAATTTATGTCGTAGAAAACTAGAAATTACAGCTCAAACCCTTTCCAGCGCACGCAAACATTGTCCAAAAAAAAAAAAAAAAATTGCAACATATACAGCATTATAGAGTTCAATATCTATGATCCGACCATGTTAAAAAAAACTGCTATAAACTCTCCCAACACATCACTCTAAATCTAAAACCTGTGAGATTTTCATAGGAAACCAAGACATGTACATAGCATAGAGTTAGAAACTTCAGCTCAGACTCTAACTTAACCTAACCTAAACTAACCATGGTTAAATCTCAGCAGTACAGCCATTGGTATAAAACTCAAAGAAGACATCTAACTACACCCAGGCTGTGGGGCCACCGAGTGATCTGACTGTACAGGTGGGTTCCTTTAAGCTTGACGGACAAACTGTCCCTTAACTCTAGGGCGTTGCTCGGCTAGCTTTTTCCTGCTCAAGTACCGCACCTGGAACAAAGATAGTAAGATTAAAATTCAAATTGATAAAAGTGTGAAGGAAAGATCATTAATTTTCTATCAGCCAAAAAGGTTAGTTGGCGCATACCTTCTTCTCAAAACATCTTTCCTTTCTCTTCATCCGGAATTTCTTCAACGCAGCTTCTCTCTGGTTCAACCGGCACCGATCAGCTCCCTCCATTTCCCCAAACTTCTGAAATCCGTCCTCATCTCCAGCTGATCCATTCTCATTCATATTATATCTGCTATCATTGCACACACTAGCGCTATCTCCGGTCACAGGAGAAACATGCCTCTGCTCATCAACAATCTCAGCTCCTCCTTCATGCCATGGTTGAACTTGAAAGCCCAAACTTTTGGGAGAATGAACTTCTTCCGATAAAGTATGAAAACCAAACTGATGGGAATGGGTTTCAGTGTAAGCTTCCTGACTGATGGCCGGCATGGCGGACCAGAAAGGAGAAGGTGATGGATGGTAGAAGATGGACTGTAAGAAGGGATTAGATCCGGTGGAAGCGAAGCATGTGTCGCCGACGGGGACGGGGAAGGGGATGAGTCGAATAGGAGTGCATCGAAAAGCAGCATCTGTTTCAGGAATGGAAGCATTATAATGCGAAGAATTGGCGGCAGGATGATATGGGGGCGGTTCAACTGAACTGTTGGAACTTCCATTGTTTTGAGCTTGAGAATCGGTTAGTTTAGACAACTTAGGAATATCCGTACTGTTATTACTGTAACTGTTTGCAAAAAAGAAAAAAAAAAGTATATTTAAATTGAGTAATAATGCCATCAAACAAAGAAGAACAAGAAACTCCGAAGAAAAAAGGGGGAAATTTACATACATACCGCACAATTTTTTATGTGGTTACATATCTAAGACCCAAAGTTTGATATTTACACTTTTTAACATCTTGGTGTCATAAAGCTACACATGAAAAGGTGTATTACACTTTTAAAAAGATAATGATGGTAATATTTTTGATGTGATGTTCAAGATTTGAGTGGTATGCCTGTAAATATGAATGTTTAGGTGTTAGATATGTAAAAAGGTAAGAATTGTGGTGTGTGCATGCAAATGACCTAAAAAAATTTATATGATGATGAAATCATCCAGCTTGTTTAAAATTTAAATACATAATATGAAAAAAACTTCTATTCTTTTAATAGCCACATTTAATCAACATTTTAACTATAATTTGGGAGCTAACATTTAAATAATCATATAAATTAAAGAACCAATAAACACAAATTTTCATCATCCTAAGTGCTAAAAAAATAAAAAAATTTGGAAGTTTCACATGAGGGAGAGTTTTCATAAGGTAAAAAATAGAGTGTAATGTAAACTCCACATCGATTGACTTAAGAAAGTTGAATTTTATTTGATTGGCTCCTCATTAGCTGGTTTATGCTTTAGTGGGCCATTTACATACATGCCATTCAATTCCTATGTATTTACATATCTAGCACCTAAACTTTACTTTTTTACATTTATGCCACCCAAATCCTTCATATCACATCAAACTTCATATCCTTCATATCACATCAAAAATACCACCATTTTAACTTTAAAAGGGGAAATACACCTTTTCATGTATAAATTTAAGTTTAGGTGTTAGATATTTAATACAAAAAAATTGAGTGGTATGTATGTAAATCATCCTTTAGTTTAAAACCCAGAATATTGATCAGAAGATGAATTCATGTACAATCGGTTGCTACTTTTATTCTGACACAAAGAAGTACTCCAGTGAAAACTGGACTAATTGATATTTACAGATAATGTGATGGAAAAATTCAGTAAATTAAAATCATTGATTGAAGGTAAGATAGATGTATCACTCACAGAGAAAAAGCTGAGGAATTTGAATGATGTAACGTATTTGATCCATCGTTTTCTTTACAATCGGGAATATTACGTGAGCATACATCCAAGGAAAGTTCAAGCGAAAGTATGGAACCCTGCTTCGTTTCCAAGTTTTCTTCAACAGGATGATTTCCATCAAAATTGTCACGAGATTTCTCAGAAACAGAAATATGCGGCGGCTGATTATTAATTACATCAATCAAATTAAACATCCCTGTAGAAGACTCATCCCGGTCCAGCTCTTCGTAATTACTCTTTTCTTCTGGTTGATTATTACTACCTAATGATATAACTCCTGCAAACCAAAAATCATATTAAATGTAAAGTAAATTAGTTGCATACCTCTCAACTTAACAGAGGTTCCAGATTCAAGTTTTCTTTTTGCAACAAAAAAAAGGGAAATTTACATATTTACCGCACAATTCTTATGTACCAACACATCCAACACCTAAACCTTAGTATTTACATATATAACATTTTGGCCTGATAAAATTATACATAAAAAAGGCGTATTTTACTTTTAAAAAATAAGGAACATTTACATAGATATCACCCATTTCTTACCCTATTTACATATGTAAAACATAAACCTTAATTTTTACATTTACACCACTCAATCTGGATGAACACATCCAAAATACCATTATTTCAACATTGAAAAAGTGAAATGTACCTTCTCATGCATAGGTAAAGTGACATATATGTAAAAATTTAAGTTTAGGTGTTAGATATTTACAGATATGGGAATTAAGTAAAATGTATGTAAATCATTTAACAAATAAATAATAGTGGCAATTTTTATTTGATGTTAAAGGTTTGAATGTTTTAGATGTAAATATAAAATCTTAGGTGTTATATATGTAAATACATAAGAATTGTGTGGCATGTATGTAAATACCATCGCAAATAAAATTTAAAAAAAAAGAAAAGTTCCAGTAATAATGAGCAAAGATTACCGTTTACTTCATCATTTGGAAATAAAGACAAGCCATCCAACCGTTTTTCGAACTGATTATCAGAACTTATTGTCTCAGGAAAAAGAGGGAAATGTTTGTGTTGTGCAAGAATAAGCTCTGCATTGTTTCGTAGCTTGCATGGACTCTCAACCTCCATATCTGACCTTGTACAAGAGCTCTGCATAAAACACACTCAGATTGAAGAAGTCCACAACAAGCTAATAAGCAAATAAGTAGAAGACGAAATTCGAAAGGTTTTTAAAGAATACGATGACGCCTGATCTAACTGTAGGGAAGAAATCAATGATGTATTATTTTACCAATATCTGTAAACTATTAAGTTCAATTTCTATTTAATATATAACAACAAAAGCTTAACTTATATTCAACTCAAAAGCTTATGTAGAAGGGTGAGCAAAAACCGCTAGTACAGCCACACCGAGCATTCTTTTTAACCATCTCACAAAGGACAACCAATACATCACGTGAAAATTCAAAAATGTTACCTTTATACTATTAATAAGAGTAAAGTGTCAAAACAGTCCCCTGACTATTTACATTGGGCCATTTAGTCCTAGAGTCCAAAAAAGTGTCAAATTAGTTTCCAAACTCCTTTTAATATGCATTGATACAGTCTCCATGGAGGATTATATTAGCCTCTTTTAAAGATCATGGAGACTAAATTGAAACGTTTGTAGACTCTAGGACTAAAATGACCCTCGATAAAGGTCAAGGGAACATTTAGATACTTTTATACTCAAAAATAGAATAGGTTGTTCCACCATCCTCCTACTCTCTATTAAGTAACTCAAATGGCTTCACCCAGGGACTATTAAGAACACTCGCATGCTTAAATAAATTTTCCCTCAAGGACAGCTCTGTGTATCGATCATCGCTTCCGCTTCAAGTTGAAAACATCAACAAATTAAATAGAGAATAAATTGCTTTACTTGTATCTTCTGGATGAAGGTTCGCTTGGAACCATACTTGAATTATTTTTAAGGGTTAATCTTTACTCTGTGAAATAGATCAAACTTATTAATCTTCATGGGGTTAAAGTGCAAGGATTGAGTGCTTCACCAGAAAAGAAGTCAAGTTAGAGAACATTTCTCAATAAAGAAACTCAAGGAGTGATGTAAGATTGGCTAGAAGGTAAAGCACCTTAAAACATAGCACTCTCAAACTTAGGTGATATTTAGGGTTCCATTTTTTCTCTTAGCCTCAAGTGAAATCTCCATTTTGCTCCCCCCACAACAATATTGGTATCTTATATACCATAAATGTAATATAATATATTAAGGAGCATGAAATTTAGTAACTTGCCGGTTTGAAAAAAAATTAATAAGCATGAAGCTTAAACAAAACCATACAACAGTCAAAGCCATTTTGCATAAAATATAAGGGAATAAAATTTAAATATAATGTATGAACTCATTTTGTTAGTTCTCTATGATGAGTTTATTCTCATGAATAAATAGCATTTCAAATGATTCCATAAAAGAACATTTATATGCAACTTAAATAATTTGATTCAGAAATTGAAGAACTCACCTGAGCATCACTTTCTTTCTCGCAACAATCCATATCATCCTGCTTATCAGTTGCATTTTTAATTGAACTGCGATCATAAAGTAAGTCAGCCATCTTATTCCGGGTTGCACCAATTCCATCCTGAGGCTCATAAGATAAAATTTCCTCGTTAAATATTGATGAATAGAATATATAATATATCCTCAACGGAGAATGCATGTTTGTATTACAACAGACAGAAATCGAAATAAAGAGTTCCTTAAAGATTAAAATGTAGGAAATTTACATACGTAGCACACAATTCTTATGCATCTACATGTCTCACACCTAAACTTTCATATTTACATGCATAGCACTTTAGTGTGCTTTAAACCTATGCAAGAAAAGATGTATTTCATTTGAAAATTGGTAATAGTGATGTTTTTTATGTGATATTACATATTTGAGTGCTATGTGTATAAATATGAAGGCTTGGATGTGAGATATGTAAATACATAAGAATAATGTGGTATTTATATAAATGTTGCTGAAATGTATGGATAGAAAATACCTTTTGTTTCCTCCAAACATGCTGCCATATATTTTTTAATTCATTCTTCCTGATAGGCTTCACAAGGAAGTCTGCTGCACCTTTTATCATGCATTTGAAAGCTATGCTAACTGAATCATTTGATGACATCACTGCATGAATGAAAATAAGAAAAAAAAATTAAATAAAAGTAGTAATTCAGCTTCTAAAGACAAAATTTTAAGGGAAGAAATACATACATACGACCCAATTCTTATGTATTTACATGTCTAACACCTAACTTCAATTTTTACATATAAACCACCTTAACTACACATAAAAAGGTATTTTCACATCTTAAAAAGTTAAAATTATGGTACTTTTGATGTGATATAAAAAAATTGGGTGGTATAAATGTAAAAAAGTAAACTTTAGGTGTTACATATATAAACACATAGGAATTCAATGGTATGTAAGTAAATGCCCCAATATTAAGTCATAAAAATAGCACACAGAGGCATATCCCATACTTATAACAGGTATGTGGTTACAGCTGTCTCGATCCATCATCATGGTTAGAAGAACAACTCCAGACATCTCAGGTAATTCAACCTCTGTAAGAACAAGGTCGATATTATGTTCTTTCTCCCTCACCATCTCCCATGCCTTCAATCCATCAGATGCTACCGTAACTTATAATAAAGAGTTAAACAAAAGAAACAAAAAAGTTAGAAAAACTTCAAAATAGATTTGAAGCTTATTTTAATCTTACATATTGCATATAAATCTTTTAAAATTCTTGACGAAGACAACTAAGAGGAATAAAAAAACATTAATGCTTAAAAGAAAATCAGCATAAGCGAAAACAAATTCGAAATAGCTCAGCAATCCTTCTTGTATGAAAAACCCTCAAAATTCCTTGAAAACAAATTTGATTGTCAATGTTTAGCCAGAAATCCATAAATAAATAAATATTTCGTTTTAGTTTTTGTGAAAATTTTTAATTTGTAAAATCAAAAACTAGATGTAACTCGGAGAATCTTCTGCTATCTAAGTTGCTAATCCCTCCATGTTTCCTATAAGCAGATTTAGCCATTATTCTTCTGCAAAAAACCCAGATAATCTCCCGATTTGCAATTCTTATGCATCTTCTGTTCGAAAGAAATCTAAAGATACATGAAAAATGCATCCAAACAACCCAAAAAAATTCATCTGGGCTTCTGAACTTCTCTACTCATGATGCCAATAAAAGGAGATAAAGAAGATGAATCCAAGCACAACTTCTTATGAAAATCAAATATCGTTTCTAGTTTGAATTAACTACGACCTAGTTCTAAATTACACATCATCTCGAAATCTTTGAAATCCCCAAAACCACAAATTACACACAAGAACAACGATTTCTATTGAAAACTCCCGAAATAAACCCTACCCAATCAAGATTTCAAAATTTGTATTTTCCCCGGAGAAAATATACACCGCATACCAACCAAAACAAAATACTAATCGTTCTGCTTCCAAATCAAAGGCAGAATCAGAAAAATAAACGGCTCAATCCATTTCATTTTCCACTCTAAGATCACACAACTACAAAAAAGATAGCCCGATCCGTCGTTCTGAAGATAATCCACCAAAAAAATAAAAAATATAAACAAAAGATCGAACTAAAATGAGAATAAAGTGAGAAAAAAAGACGCAAACCTCTATAACCACATTTGCGCAGCAGAGCAGCGATGATCTGCCTTGTGGAATCGTCTCTCTCCACCAGAAGAACTCTCACCGGTGCCCTAAGCAGCAACTTCTCCCACGTCACCTCCTCATCTCCTTCCTCCACTTTCGCCTCCACTTTCGCCTCCAATCCCATACCCTTCTGAACTCCTCCCATTCTCACCTCTCTCCTGCTCTCTTTCTCCCTCTACTCTATATGGGCATTTCCTCGGACAACTGGCGTGCAATGGCTAACCGCCTCAGCCTAACTCTTGCGGAAATATCTTCCCTAGTGCCTTCAACTCCTGGACAACGAAAGACTGCCACGTCGACAATTAACTCAGTAAAAATATATATATATATATCAAACATTACTTAAAATTGACTTATCTATAATTTTGTTTATATCATAATTAAATTACTAAAATTTTAATGAAAATTAAAAATGAGGATTATATTTTTTAATGAATTTTAATATTTATATGAGATTTAAAAAAAAAAAGAGCACCCAATTATATGACATCTCTCATTTTAAAATAAATTATTAAATGTACATAACAACATATGTACAATTGTACAATGAAAATAGAAATACATAATTGCATGCTCATGCTATAAAAACTTCATAATAGTATTTTTTTTTCATTCGCAAAAAAAAAATGATGTGTAAATATATTATTTTTTGCTCGTGTTATTGCTCTGATCATGTTATTCGTGTTAAATAATTTCTAGAACAGTTAAATAGACAACACTCAAAATTAGGGGTGCAAACGAGCCGAACACGAGCGAGCTCAGGCTTAGCTTGTGTTCAACTCGTTTATATTTCGAGCTCAAAAGTGTTCGGGGCTCGTTTCTATTTCGAGCTCAAAAAGCCGTTCACGAACAAAGAGTCGTTTTGACAACCCTAATCACGTAACCATAATATATTAAAAATTGAGGCAAGATTTAAAATATCATTCGAATCTGATTTAATAATTTAATACTTTTAATTGATTATAAATCTTTGTAGCCTTGTAGTCAACAAAATTTCTTAAAAATTCTATTCATCAAAGATATATACATACATATATATATATATATATATAAGCTGAGCACGAACGAACAAATATTTGTTCGTATTGTTCATGTTCAGGTCGTTAACTTAGCGAACGAGCCGAATGCAAGTTTCTTAACGAGCTGAACACGAGCTATTCACGAATAATGAGCCGTTTTGACAGCCCTACTCAAAATATTATTATTTACAAAATTATCATCATCTTCAATCCAATTTTTAAATTTATACTCAAATATCAAAATTCATGCTTAAATCCTGGGATATTTTCATTTTATTAAATTCATAATAGTTTGATTGTAGCTCACACAATTGCATTGATTAGCTAGTTCACATAATCACATTAGTGTTAATTTTACAAATAGCAAAAATTAGAGTGATTTGTATGTAATTATCCTTAGTTTTCCTATTCTAAATATATAATTTTCATATATATGCAGGTGCTCCATAGGATCAAAGAAACCAGAACAAAGTATCCGCTCAAGCTTACATAGTAATAGGGGAATACTCTCATCAAGATGTCTCAACGAGTCAACATTCAATGTCCATGCACACAACTATTTAAAGAATATACTAACTTTGATTAAGGAATCAAGCACCAGCTTCAGCAGTGCATATATATATATATATATATATATAATTTTACATACAAAAATGTGAATTTAACCATTTTAAAGAAAAATAGTGGCATTTTAGAAATGCTATGAAAGATCAATGGTTTGTTTGGGGCAACTGCAGCTTATTGAATAATATGTTGATATGCTGATTAAAAATAATTTGTTGATAAGCTAGATAGGGTAGCTATTATAAAGTTTATTTTTATGTAAAAGTCAGAAAGCTGCCAAAACACTATTTTCAGCGTTTTGAAAACGCACAAGTTGTCGAAACACAACTTACCCAAATATGTAAGGTGTGTTTTCAAAACGTCACCGTACCAAATAAGCTGCCACAAATAGGCCATTAGCCAATTTGGTGGTATAAATGTAAAAAGTAAAGTTCAGATATTAAATATGTAAATATATAAGAACTGGGGGGTATGTATGTAAATGAACTTGTTTTTTCATCCTTTGTTGATGGGTGGTACACGTTAAAGGTTGGTTTTTGTGTTCTTTTTTTTTTAATGTTATAGTTTGTTTATTCTGCCGTCAATATGTTATTTAATTTAAATTAAAAATAAATTATAATTTTTCCTTTATTTTCTCCGCCCTTAAAAAAAAATTAGACTAATTCCTACTCCTACCACCGCGGTGCCTAAATAAGCGAGCCAGGAGGTGCCACGTGGTCAGATCGAAAGAGGCGCATCTAGTGGTTAAGGTGGGGCCCAAGTTGACGTGGCGGATGCCAGGCCGCAGACGGAGATATTAAGGTGCGGATGCCGCTATAGATGAATAGGGAAGATATTTTGCTTCTGTAACGCGACGTGGACGGCGATGAGTCGATTGCTTGGAATCTAAGGCAAGAGAAGTGCCACGTGGTTGCATGAGATGCTTTCAGAGACCTGTGGCTGAGCGCGTTTGCGTTAGAGTTTGCTTTTTGTTGAAGTATTGGGCGATGCCATATGCTTCTTAGCCGTCCAATTTTTTTATTTGAAAATTTTACAACATATCTAATTTTAAAACTTTAGATTTATATTTTTATTTTATTGCTGTCACAGGTAGGGCTGTAAACGAACTGTGTCTGAGCGAGTGCTGAAACTGGCTCATGTTCGAGACGGCTCATGAACAGTGTGTTCGTATTCGGCTCAAATTACATTTTTTTTGTTCGTGTTCAGCTCAAAATTGACTAGTTATAATATAAAATTATTATAATTAAAAAAATTAAAAAAAAGTAATAATTTTATTTTAAAATTTTCAAGAACAGATTTCCTACAAAAGTTTAAGAAATTTATTAACTAAAAAATGATAACATAAGAAAATTTTACAAGAGCAAAAACTTACAAAATAAGAACCGATTTATTACAATTTTTGAAATGTACAAACTAAACAAGAGTACAAAAAATAATAAAATCTCAAACTCAAAATCAAAATCTAAGAAATAATTGTATTGAACATTTTATTCTTCTGATGCTTTACATACAACTCAAGCTACTAAAACTAATTTCTGTAAACGAGGATGACACTGTGCTGGAAAACAGCTCAAGTTCTCAAAAGGTCTAATGCCAATATTGATTCTTGCACCATGTGGATATTGCAATAACATCTTTCTCAGCTGGTCTTGATTCAGGATTCTGCCCGGTCTTGATTCTGTCAAATTGACAGCCCTAATCAAATGGTCAACTCTGTAATTTAGAAAAGAACGCAATGGTTAATTTTATAAATAAAAAAAAATGTTTGTGTGAAAATGTATTCAGCATATAAGAAAGTATTTCAACTGTTATAATATGCTGGAGCAGATATAACATTCTATATTGGCTGTTGTATCTAATGAAATTCATATGTGCATTCTCAAGCTGCTCGTCATCAATATTAAATTAAATTAATATTTTTTAACGGGGTAATTCGCGTGCATTCTGATGACTTCTAGGTTTAGTGTTTATTTAAAAAACAGGAGGCATTTACACGTATACCACTCACTTCCATGTGCCCCAAATTTCATTTAGATCATGTTAGATCATATTTCACAAAACTTACATGTGCCCCAAATTTCTTTTGTGATGATTTACATGTGATTCTAGACAGAGAGGTGAACTGGATATTTAAAAAACTTACATGTTAGATCATATTTCACAAAACTTACATGTGCCCCAAATTTCTTTTGTGATGATTTAAAATATAATAAGTGTGATGTTTTGACTTCGAGTGTTACATCATATAATACCTTGCTAGAATATGCACTACTTATTGCATCAACAAAAAAATATACATCCCCACATTGGAAATGAAACCGTGATATAAAGACATTGACTTTTTACCATAAATTAGCAACAATAATAAAGATAAAAAAAGCAAAGAACAATTGGAATTCACACATCAATAGAAGCTCAAATTATAGTAATTTTGGCTAAACAGATTTAAACTCTCAAAAAAATAGCAAAAACATGATTCATGCATTTACAAGATAAGTCACTAATAAGTAACGTGAGAAAGAATTGGATGTCAAAGTTGGAAATAAATTGGTATTCACATAAAAATTCTATTTAGCCGCTGATAATTATTGTAAATGCCACATTCTCTTATTTTTAATTACAAGACAAATTAAAATTCTCTTTCATAAACTGAAAAAGATCCATGAAAGTACTACCAATGTCTTGTCTTAAAAAACCAAAATTTGTATGTGATAGATCAACTATAGGCTCAAGAAAGCCATGTAACATTTTAACAAAAGAATTGCAAATAAACAAAAATGCTGAAATATTGATGTAACAAATTGGAGGAAACATGTAAGTTTTTTGAAAGATAAACTCAAAAGAGATTAGTAGTTTATTAACAATAAAAGAGATTAGTAGTTTATTAACATGAATGCAATATGTGAGATTTCACTGCCAAAACCCTAAAAAACTAGGTTTCACTCAAATAATCTTAGTAAATCTCGATCAATCCAGCCAACAATGTCTATCTAAGAAGAAGGAAAAGTAGAGATTAGTGCAAGAATATTACAGAAAAAGGTGAAATACCTGAAGATAAATATGAAATATTACATAAAAGATACTCAAAGATAACACCTAGGTATCCAAACAAGCAACCGTGCAAAAATATCGAGCAACCAAGCAAAAATACCGATCAATCCAGCCAACAATGCCTATCCAAGAAGAAGGAAAAGTAGAGATTAGTGCAATAATATTACAGAAAAGGTTAAATAATACTAGTTCAAGTGACATACTTGAAGATAAATATGAAATATTACGAAAAAGATACTCAAAGATAACACCTAGGTTTCCAAACAAGCAACCGTGCAATAATATCGAGCAACCAAGCAAAAATACCAATCAATCCAGCCAACCGAGAGGGGTATGTATGTAAATCTTCCAAATAAAATAAATTTAAGAAACATTAGGAAAACTGGACAAGAGGCATACATGAAGATAAATATGAAATATTATAAAAAAGATACTCAAAGATAACACCTAAGTGTCCAAACAAGCAGCCGTCCAAGAATATCGAGCAACCGAGCAAATCTAAAAGAAATTTAAGAAAATTTAAGCTGAGAGGTGAATCCAAAGATAAATATGAAACAATAGAGAAAAGATACTCAAATCTAATACCTCTGTAAGTAAACAAACAACCAAGCAAGAAAATCGAGCAGTCGAGCCAACACTGACTATCCAAT